ACAGGCATGAGCCGTTATTCAGTGTTGAGCTTCAAATATTTCTTGTCCCACTGTGACTCTACCTTGTCATATGTTCTTTCCCAGCACAGTGTAATTTTACCCACCTTGTCAGAAACCAGGGAATTAATCCATGAAGGCTTTCTGACGCCCTTGCACGTGAGCGATTGTGGGAATGTGTCTGTTTCTCACACCGTGCGTTCTGAGCCGTGGAGGGATTCTCGGGCGCGTAAACCTGAGATCGTGGCCTGACACACTTTAGGTTTTACATCCAGTGTTAACATCCTCTTTACGTGATCTAAGCTTAAATATCGAGACCAGTGGTTGAACTTGCGGCACCTTGAAGTCTCACGGTCAGCACAGTCATGGGCCCGTAACGTCCCTCTTTTTCTTCAGACATAAAGCGTACAGAGGCCCCAAACCGTGAAGACGAGGAAGAAATAATACGGCGCTTAGAAGAAAGAGACCCAGGTTGGTCTTAGGACATCCGACACTGGCGTAAGCTAAGTGAAGCCACCCTCCTCGCTGGGCTGTCCCCGCTCCTTTTGAGAACCCCATCCCTCTCCGATCTTTCCCCACTATTTTTAATATGTCAGTCATCTCCTGTAGAACGCCTCCGTCCCTTGCATAAAAATAGAGGGAAAAACAAACATGGCAGAGAAACAGAACTCAGTTTATAGAAAGTTAGGAAAAGGTTATAGAGCCTTTTTCTTGGAGTTTGCCACCTTTTTTCAATTTTAAAGAAGTTGGTAGGTGTTAGGTCCGGAGCAGAGAGAGACACACGAAGCCTCAGGTGTAGTAAAAGGCTGTTAATTTGGGCATCTGGGTGCAGAAGGGTGGAGGCCAAAGAGCATCCACCCTGAGGGGGAGGGGAAAGTCTCGGGTTTTACAGAGGGTTTCTTAGTGGGGAGTGAGTACTTGGGCCAGAACAGCCGCTGTAATAAAATTTTTTTTTTTTTTGAACAACCCATTGCTGAGACCCCTGGGTCAGTCTCATCCTGTAGAGATAAGGGAGGAGGGTAGTTCCATCCCTATCAGGGGGGCTAGGAATGCTGGCTGCAGCTGTCTGTTAGATTTCCAACCTCCGGGGACTCTCCAGACTCCTGCGGCTATTATGTCACAAACCCCAGTTTTCCATTAACCACATTCCGTCCCATATATACTTTTCGAGTTCCCACCTGGAACAAACCTAACGGTAGGTATAATTGTACGTATTTACTGTTTCAACGCTCGGACAATGGGTTAGTAGTGTCAACTCGCGGATGAGCAAACTGAGACCTAACAGGGTGAGTGACGTGTCTGCGCTTTGATCAGTCTGAGATCAGTCTCTCGAGTCTGCCTGGTAAGTAGTAGTTTTGAAATGGCTTTACTGAAGTACAAAACTATGTATCACAAATTTCCCTCTTTGAGCATACTATTTAATAGTTCCTAGTAAATCACAGTCGTGCAGCCATCACCACTATGCAGTTTTACAACACTTCAATACCCCAAAAGAACCCCACAAGCCCATTTGTAGTTGGTCACTCCTGGTCTCTGCCCCCCAGCCCCAGGCAAACACTAATCTTTCTGTGTCTCTAGATCTGCCTTTGTGTGGATACCCACATTTGGTTTACCCACTCATCAGTGGATGGACATTCAAATTGTTTCTAATTTTTTACCATCTTGGTCAGGCGTGGTGGCTCACATCTGTAACCCTAGCACCCTGGGAGGCCGAGGCGGGAGGATTCTTGAGGTCAGGAGTTTGAGACCAGCCTCAGCAAGAATGAGACCCTGTCTCTGCTAAAAATAGAACGAAATTAGCCAGGCAACTAAAAATAAAAACAAAAATTAGCCACGTGTGGTGGTGAATGCCTGTAGTCGCAGCTACTTGGGAGGCTGAGGCAGGAGGATTGCTTGAGCCCAGGAGTTTGAGGTTGCTGTGACGCCATGGCACTCTAGCCCAGGCAACAGAGCAAAATTCTCTGTCAAAAAAAAGAAAATTTTTTTTTTATCATCTTGAATAATGCTGCTATGACCTATAGGGGAGAAAAAGTTTTCCTTATACCCATCTTAAGTTCACTTGCTGGGGCCCCTATATCAACAGAAAGATAACCAAAAAAATATGAGAAAAGGAAAAACAAATGTATTTAACGTATGTTTTATATATACATGGTAAATAACCAGGAAACGAGTAATTCTCAAAGAGGTGTCTTAGAACTCTGGCTTATATAGCATCTTCAGCAGACAGTGAATTTTAGAGAAGTAAGGAGACAAAGGAGAAGGACTTTGAACCTCTAGGGTGGCAAATTATGGGGAGGGCAATAAATGGGAGTTAATAAAACTTATGTAGATTGCTCAGGTGCTGTCTCCAGACTGATAAGGTCTAAAGCTGCATTTGGTGATCAACCTGGGTCTTCCTGGCAGAGGGCGGGGGAGGACACCTTTGTAAACTTAGGCCCCATTTTTCGGCAAACGGGGAGGGCAGAGAGCTGCTCTGGTATCTGCTACTTCTCAGTTAGCATTAGCTCAAGATAATCCTCGTTCTACAGAGGCCCGTTTTGTGTGTCTTATTCTGGTCTCCGATGGAACATTCACGTGCAAATCATTGCACAGGCACATTTTCACTTCTCTGGGGTAGGTATCTGGGAATTGTGACAATCTAGACACACAGTGCCACGTCATTGCTCGTTTACTCAAACATTTGCATCGCAATAGCGAGTTAAGGCTATTACGGCAAAGGTCTGTTTCCTGCGCTCCTGGCATTTGTTCTAGTCCAGTGTAGAAAGAAGATAGATGAGTCGTTAAGCACAAACCATGTTGAGTTTTGATAGAGCAAGTGTTTCTTGTTATGCTTCTATGGAATAGAGGCATGTAACTTGGCTGGGGGGTCGTTTGCCCTGTTCATCCCTATAAACCCAGACGTTGGAATTCCCAGCTCACAACCTGGACGAAGACTTCGGATGAGACGCTGGGCTCCGTGGAGCCTGCTGTGTCCTCAAGCTTCTGGTAAGGGCGGTACACCTGTTCTCTGTCAAGCTCACTGTAGTTTGTGTTTTTCAGAGCTTACAAAAATACAGATAAAAGATATTACAAACCTGGGAAGACCTAGAAGATTCCTGGAAGGGCAAAAGCCAGGTCTGTTATCATGTATTCCTGGAATGAGGCTGGGGTCAAGTTGCTCTTTCTAAACTTCATTTCTGTTTTCTTTCCTACTTAACACAAAGTATCTTTTCCCCCTAATGGATAACCAACTGTATCCTGTCTATCCTGTACCCCATATCTCTGAAGGTAAGGAGGACACATATAGAGGGATAATTATGAAGAAGTTCTGGAAAGCCTGGAATAACAATGGGCCTGGAGCCGGTGAACACATCAGCGACGTCACCCAGAGAGACAAGATGCTGATCCCCTTCTGTGACCCGAGGACGCTTCCAGGGGTGTTTCCACACACATTGGTGCTCCACGGCCCCGCGGGCTTTGGGAAAACCACACTGACCAGGAAAGTGATACTGGACTGGACAGAGAACCACCTCAATCAGACGTTCAGATACGCCTTCTACTTCACCTGCAAGGAGCTCAACCGCATGGGCCCGTGCACCTTTGCAGAGCTGATCTCCAAGGACTGGCCCGAATGGCGGAATGACCTCCCGGAGGTCCTCGCCCGAGCATACAGGATCCTCGTCATTATTGATGGTTTTGAAGAGCTGAAAGTCCCCGAGGGGGCCCTGATCCGAGATATCTGTGGCAACTGGGAGGAGCAGAAGCCGGTGCCCGTCCTCCTGGGCAGCCTGCTGATCGGGACGATGTTACCCAACGCCACGTTACTGGTCACCACGCGGTCTGAGGCCCTGGGGGATCTCCGGCTCCTGCTGCAACAGCCCCTCTTCCTAGAGATCGAGGGCTTCCTGGAGCAGGACAAGAAGGCCTATTTCTTGAAACACTTTGAAGATGAGGAGGAAGCCCTGCGAGCTTTCGACTTGATGAGGAGCAACTCGGCCTTGTTCCGCATGTGCGCTGCGCCCGCAGTGTGCTGGGTCGTCTGCACGTGTCTGAAGCTCCAGATGGAGAGGGGGCAGGACCCGGCCCCCACCTGCCTGAGCGCCACGTCGCTGTTCCTGCGTTTCCTCTGTGGCCAGTTCATGCCGG